TTTACTTTTCTCATGTTTTTAAGTTTAGGTTTTACTTTTGGGGAGATATATTCAACTTTATATTCCAGATCTTGTATTGATTATTTAGCTGCTGTGATCCTATTTTTTTTAATTTTAAGAGCTTTTCCTTGTTCTCTGATTGTTCCATTTTAACAGCACTGTATTCTTGTGTTATTGTTTCACAGATGCCTATTATCTTTCTTCTCTCTGAGGCTATTAATTATGGTTTCATTGATGTTTTCTTCTGCTCTCTGTCATGTGTCTGATTTTCCAAGTTCCTTTCTTCTGTTTGGGCTTTTACTTTCACTTCCTGTGTAGTGACTCTTGACTGTCCATTCATGTTTGGAGAGAGGCAATAAAAAGCATAGCAGGTCAGGCTTATCAATTTATAGGCTTCATTGTAGAAAACAGCCAGCAGTTCTGTTAGAGGATGCTGAAATATCAGTATCTGCAAGTCTTTTCTCTCAAACTGGTCAGTTTCCCCAAAGAGGATTCTCCTAGACTCCTGCCTGGTTTCCTACATCCAGGGAAGGGACTGAGGTTGAGTAGGGAGTTGTCTCTCTTTCAGAATACAGACTTTCACTTAATTTCAGTATTTTTAGTGTAGCACCTCACCCTTGTACCTAATGTCCCTGAGCATAAATCTTTTCTGATTTAATGTCGTCAGAGAGCAAAATGGAAGAGAGGAAGGAGAAAGGAGGAGAGGGAAGGGGTTGCGTCTCCTGGTTGCATGAGCCTGGAGAAGGGATGGGAGGGAGGCTGTCTAACACTGTTTGTAGTGCCACCCACTCCTGCCTCCTAAGGTACCTGAGCTTCCGGTTCTGCAGCCTGTTCAGGATGTTCGGTCATGCTTGTTTTTGGCAACAAGCATGAAGAAACAGCCTTTCTTCTGCTGAGTCAGTTATGCTCTTCCAAGTGCTCTCTATCCTTTGAAGTGCTGCTAATATTCTTGTCTGCTTCACCTTCTCTTGTTCTTACTGTCTTTGTGGGTTTATCCCTTAAAAAAATCCCTTTGCTCTTAGTTAACTTTGCAAGGGAAGCAGGGATAGATGCACATGTCCAATTAGTCAGTTTTGATTGGTAGCTCTGGGCCTTCACTTTCTTATACCCAAAATGAGGGAATTAGATCAGATCATATCTAGGGGTTCTATGAATCTCAAATTCTATGATTCCATTATCATAAATAGGTGCTATCTCATATAGGACCGACTTAAAGAATTGTCAGAATCCAAACAGGGAAATTACTAGAGGACGAATCAAGAGAAGTTTCATCTTAGAGGTGGGGTTAGAAAGTTGTGTGTGGATTGGATACATGGAGAGAAGAGGAAGGCAACAGCATATCACCTATTCAGAGAAGTGGCTATGACCACTGATGGGAAAGGTACATGATGAGAAATAGCAGGAAACAGGTTGAATATTCACCAGGTATTTATTTAGTACTTGCTGTAGAGGGTCTTCAAAGGCTGAAATTTAAACTTCATTGCAGTATGAAATGTCACTCTTCAAAAATAATATAATATTGTTACCAAATAGTATTTATTTTTATCTTATAACCTTTGCAAAATTCTCATTCATATAATTTCTCTTTAAAGTGAATTGAAAAAAACCCTTCATTTTTCTCTTCTAAAGAGAAAGTTTTTAAAGTGCAATTACGTAATTTTGAGAACTAATGAGGCAAAGTGTAATTTTGAT